GCCTAGTTTCCTTAAACTGAGAGTAATAACTGCCACTCCCAGCCCCAGCACCAAGGAAGTTTCAACAGGACCAGACTTTCCACATTTTTCTCGACCCACTGTGTGGGTCAAAGCCTGGTTGAATCTACATATCAACATATTTCTTGGAGGTTTTTACCCCTTCTAATTTTTTTTTTTTTTTTTTCTTTTTGAGACAGGGACTCACTACGCAGTGCAGGCTGGCCTTGAGCTCACTTTATAGCCCAGGCTATTCTCAAACTCACAACGATCCTCCTGCCTCAGACTCCGGAGTGCTGGGATTACAGGTGTGCGCCACCACATCTAGCAGCATTTCTCAAAACGGATTCCACCATGGAATCTTTTGGCCACCCAACTTCCACTGACATCCTCAGATCTCCTGACGCACAGAGGAGCTGGTGGAGTTCCTCACAATCTAAGAAGTGTTTGACAGTGAATCTCGGAGTTCTAAGGTCAAGTCCCGCTATGAACACACAGAGGCAGAGCATAAACCAGGGAGTATTACCGTTATCTATCATCCGCTGCTTGGTCAGGATCATGAGTAAGCGGTCCACTTCAAAGACACCCACGCCAGGTGTGATCACCACAGACATCTGCCCAGTTCGGTCAAAGTTGCGGTTGATGTAGTGCTTGTCAAACACTTGAAACAAAACAAAAACTCCTCCATCATGACATCACAGCTTTTCAGAAACCAGCTACTGATAAGCATATCTGTGCTTTCAGAGTATTTTGTATATATTTTGATCACAGCAATTAAGATACTTTCACCTAAATTCTAGCTAGTGGGGTACACATCTATCCTTCCTGTTCTACATTAACAAACCCTTGAATATAAAACTGAGTCACTGTCACCTTTATCATTCTCCCTCAGTGATGCCTTATACTTGTCCTATGCCACCTTAAATACTCAGATTTACTGTCATAAATTTAAATCATTCACTAATAAGTCTATTGAAACTTCTAAGGATCCAATATTAATTTAAGAAAACCCACCAGAAACATGGGATGACTGCAAAGTTAGCAAGTTGCTTCTGGCCTCTGCAATTCTTACTATAGAAAATCAGTGACATTCAAACTTTCTGTTTTGTTTTGTTTTGTTTTCCGGTACCAGGAATCGAACTCACGACCTCACGCTTGCCAGGCAGGCACTGTGCCACTGAGCTAAATCCCCAGCCCACTCAAACTTGACAAAAAGAGCTGCTAATAAAAAACGTAATGCTCTAGAATTCCCCATTCCCTGGGTACAGATGCACGGTAAGGTGATATATATAAGTGAATTGAAAGACATCATCACTTCCACCACTGGCCAGTGCTGGGCTGACACATACCTGGAGCTGGCCCCATCATATTCTGCTAGCAAGTACAATTTTGAACAAATAGCAAAGATAGGGTTGCTGAGGGCTAAATATGGCTGGAACTTGTATTATTTCTCAGATCCCCAAGGTTTTCCAACAAGACATTCAGGCCTCTCCTAGCTGCCTCACTAAGCCCCTGCATCCTTAACAATAAACGTCCCTTTTTGTTTAAATTAATTCAGTAGTTTTCTGTTACTGGCAAATAATACTATCCCAGCTATTATGCAAAGGCGAGGATAAACCTTAAGAAGAACCCAAACAACACTGTTAACAATGGCTCCTCCTAGAAGAGGACTCATGGACCAAGGGCTGAAAGGGGTCCTTTTTTTATTTCATGTAATTTTCTATACTTGAATTCTAGGAACTTAAGTTACTTTTATCATTTCTAACAGTAGCTTGTTGTTGTTACTTCTATTATTTAATTATACCTAGAAGCAACTAAGGGATAAGGCTGAAAATAAGAACCATCTGTAGCAAAACAAAGAATCCAAGCAAGATTCCCTCTAGCTCTTTACCATGAGAAACACATGAGAACACCAAGTTAATTTCCCAACAGAAGACCCCAAAGCTAAATGCTGACTATTAAGACCACCGAACCAGAAGGTACTCTTTCGAGTTAATCTGGAGAGTAGGTCGGCAGGAATATCATCAGTTAGGTCTGGGTCTTTGGGCATCAGTAAAGAGAAGTCCATGGCCATGTGGGAAGCAAGATGGCAGCTCACTGTGCTGGCATCCTTACTCACCATTGAATGACAAGTTGATGGCCTCTAGGTAGTTTCCTTGTGCTGAGGTAGAATTGTTTCCTTGAGGAAAGCCCTCTGAAGCAAAAGATACAGGAGAAGGAAAAACATCTCATGAAAGATGAACTCTTAAAAGCAAAGCACAGCGATGATAACAAAGAAAATTAGCAAGGCACGGTGGTGCATGCCTGTAATCCCAGCACTCAGAAGGATGAAGCAGGAGGATCGCCAAGCGTTTGCAGCCACCTGGGCTATGTAATGAGTTCAAGGTTAGCCTGCACTACAAAGCCCAACCCTGTCTTAAAAAAAAAAAAAAAAAAAAAAAAAGAGACAGTAGCTGGTTCCATAGAGAACCCCAAAAACACACACCCTGCAGTAATAATGAACAAACCGACTGAACTGGAAATAGAAACCTGAGCCAGACATGATGGCACACGCTTATAATCCCTGCACTTGGGAGACTGAGGATCACTGCAAATTCGAGGCTAGCCTGGGCCACATAGTGAGTTCAAGGCTAGCCTAAACTACACAGTAAGACCCTATCTCATAAAACAAAAGGAAAGGAGGGGAGGGAAAGGAAGGGAGAGGGAAGGGAGGAGAGGAGAGAAAAGGAGGAGAGAAAAGAAACCCAACCAGAAGCAGAAACTACACATGGATAAGCATGAACCTCTCGTCACTCCAGCCTCCATCCTATAGCTCCTTTCCCCGCCATACCTTCAATTACGTGGATGCAGTACCTGCCTGTTCCAGCCGCACCAACACTGGATACTGGATGAAGAGCTTTTTAATGGTCACGAGGAGTGAAGTCCACTCTTCTCTCCTCTCATTCTGCACCACCACTCTGAAAGAAATATTGTCATAAAACAGACGCTGAGCAGCTATTACATACAGGGTATCAGGTCCCTTACCAGGTTTCAAGAAAAGAGGACTATGGGATTCCCAGTGTTAGGGGAATTTATCATATAATAATAAGTAATAAAAGTCAGTGCATTTAACAGTGATTAACAAAAAAAATGTGATGAAAATAACAGTCGTGTACCTTGTTTTATGGTGCTAGGGATCCAAGCCAGGGCCTTGAACATAGGCAAGTGAGCTACCAATGAGCTACTCTCCTAGTCTAACAGTCATAGAAATTAAAAATTAAAAAATAGGAAGGTATAATAAAAAATGCCTGGTCATTGTATCAATGTCCAGTGTTGGATAAACATATGAACATCTTCATGTACTGTTCAGGGCATGTAAATTTTATCTTCTTCCAAGTAGGCAGTGTGCACTAAGCTTTAAAAAGAGCATTCATATGCATCCTTTAAATATATATCCAAAAACATGCCCATATTAGGGAAATAGATTAACGGAAAGGGATGGATTAGAATTTGTTTACAGAGTATTCTCTCTGTACATTTAAAAATCAGAACTATATGAATGTATTGAAAGAGTAACAGTAACATTAACTTAAATTTTAAAAGAAAAACGGCCAGGTATATAGTGCACCTCTGTAATTCCAGCACTGGGAGGCTGAGGAAGGAGGACTGCTGTGAATTTGAGGCCATTCTGGGCTACATAGCGAGTTCAAGACCAGCCTGCACTACATAGTGAGACCTTATCTCAAAAAACAGAAACACAAAAAAGAAAGCCAGCCAGCCAGTTATTTGGGGGTACAATTAAGGAAATTTCAGTATCAACTGGGTTATGTTATAGAATTATTAATTTTGTTAAATGAGAGTATGGTTATATATAAAAACGCCCCATTTTTTAGCTTTGCATAGGAATGTTATAATATCTATAGCTTACGTTAAAAGTAAAATTTAGCCAAGAACAGATGAAACAAATACAGCAATATAGTTAACTACAAAATCCAAATCCAGGTGTTAGATAACATTATATTATTTGTTCATTCTTCTGCATGATGAATTTTTTTACAGTAAAAAATGTGGAAGGTTTAAATACAATGTGGTAGCCTGGATTGGATCCTAGAACAAAAAAGTACTGGTGAAATCAGAAAAAGACTGAATTTAGTTAATAGTAATGTCCCAATGCTAATATCCTAGTTATAGCAACTTGATTATGAAATGTTAACATCAGATACAACTGGGTAAAGGTATATGAGAAGTCCTTACACTATACCACTTGCAACTAAATTATTATAAAATTGTAAGTTTAGTTTTTTTGAGGGTTTTTATTTGGGGGGAAGGAGGTATAAATAAGGAAAGAAACAACCATAAGTAATGAAAGACACGGAGAGACACCCAAACATACTTGTAAAAATCTTCATAGAATTGCCCTTTGTGATCCTGTCGAATTGAGGCTCGGTTTATTTCAGGAAATTCATCTGAAACAGAAAAAATGAAATATGTAGATCGGATTGAAAAGAGAAATGTAGTTTTGATGGCTCCCTCTTCTGAGTAGAAGAACTACATCACAAAAAATAAAAAATAATTGTTTATCTATTAAGTTGGCTTTAGGATGAATACAGGCCACAGACCTCTCACATCTTCTAATAGACTATGCCACTTTCTATTTCACCCTTTCTGCATAAGAAAAGCAGGAAAAATGAACAGTGTGAAGGGAAAGAAGGTGAAAAAGAATGGCTGGGAAGGATGTAGGGGCTACTTCATGAAATATAACTGTAGGAAGCTAGGTATGACTGTTACACACCTGTAGTTCTAGCTATGAAAGAGGCTGAGATGGAAGGATCACTTGAGCCCAGGAGTTAGGGACCAGCCTGGACAACATAGTGAAACTCGTCTCTTAAAAAAAAAAAAACAAAAAACAAGAACTCCAAGAGAAAGGAAGTTACTCACCAATAGATTTTGCATCATAGAAAGTTCTAGAAAACAGGACAACTGTGACTTCGTGACTACAGTTCTTCTCCTAGGTATGAGTAGAGAAAAAGGTGGCTCAGGTTGATTTCACTTAATTCACTATAAAGTAGTCCATATAAAGTAGTGCGCATTAATATTCTTAATTCTAGGAGGCTCAGTGGCAGTGCAAAACATTGGATTCATTCATGTGATTGCAGGAAGCATAGTACAGAGGACAGAAGTCAGAAGACCTGTACCAAGTCCTGGCTCTGAAACTTACCACTACATGACCTTGGGAAAGTTACCTAAAGATCCAGGAATATGCAAAGTGCTTGGAAAACTGCAAATAACCATAAGGTTAGCTCCTAGCTCTTGGTTTATCATAAATTTGATCAGCCCATTGTCAGAGGCTCATGATTGCGATACCTGTTCTGCTGCGCTTTTTAACTACTTCAGAATCACAGGTTAGAAAATGACAATAGTACCCATACTGGTGGATTTAAAAAACAATACTCCTACACCTTTCTAACATCATCCTGGGATGAGGACTAGAGGCTGCTGGGGAGGTAGTAGTATAAGCCAAGGTCAGGAATTATCTTTTGGAGCAGGTGAGGAAAATAAACATTTCCATGAAGTCTGGAAATCAATATCCTGGAAGCAGGGTGTTTAGAGATGGGCATGAATATGGCTTGCACCAGTGAGCCAATAAGTTCCTTTTCAGTTCCTTCTGGCCCCCACCCCATCTCTATCTCAATCATACTAATTACACAACTCAGCATTCACCACAGAAGGTATAAAACTTAATGTACTATATGCCACCTGTAACAGTTGATACACTGTGTCAACTTGAGAAGTTCAGAAGCTTAACTGAGTAACTCAGCAGTTCTACATCCTAGGGTGTGGAGGACATGCCCTAGGGCTGCTGTGCTCCAGGATGTTGTAATGGTTGATTAATTGTGTCAGTCTGAGAAGTTCAGAAGTCTAAGTGACTCAGCAGGGGGCCAGGATCCTCACTTTGTAAACATCCTGAGCCTGTGCAAGAGAAGGGCAGAGATGGTGTAAGTGCTACAACCGCACTAGGGCAGGTAGCCTGCATACAATATAAGGAAAGAAAAGAGGCTTGTTCTCCCCCTTTTGCTCTTGTTGCTTTTCGCTGTCTTCTACCACCAAGAAAGGTTGCCCCGCTGCCATGCCACCCAGCCTTGAAGCCAGCCGACTGTGGACTGAAACTTCTACAAGCTGTGAGTTAAACAAACCTTTCCTTCCTTAATTCTGAGCATCAGGTATGTTGTCTCAGCAACAAGAGAAGAGTAACTAACACACCACCTTATATTCTTTCATGGATATATCTCAAGTGAACAGAAATTCCCAAATATAAGTGATAGTACCAAGACCACAGTACTAGGAAAGAGCAGACAGACCTTCATTAACTAGCAACTAATTTACTGGACTGAAAATGCAGCATAATTCCTAATGTTGGTGTAAGTGACATACAGGGGAAAAATGTATCAAAATGGGCTGGTGAGGGGAGAAGAGTCTCTTAACTCATATATGATAGGAAAGATGGAGCCATTATTATCACTGCTTCATGGAAAAAGAAACTCAGACATCAAAAACCTAATCAATCCCAGCACTGAGAGGGTGAGACCAACGGATCACAATTTCAAGTCCAGCCTCAGCACCTTAAAGAGGTCCTGTCTCAAAATAAAAATATAAAAAGGGTTAGAGATGTAATTCACTTCAAAGGCCTAGGTTTAATCCCTAGCAGATAAACAAGCCCGACAACAAATAAACAAACCAAGCTAATTGGAACCGGGTATGGTGGAACATGCCTGCAATCCTAGGACTCAGGAGGCTAAGGCAGGAGGATCACTGCAGGTCTGAGGCCAGTCTGGACTACAAAGTTGAGTTCAAAGCCAGCCTGCACTATATAGAAGACCCTGTCTCAAAACAACAAAACAAAACAAAACAAAACAAAACAAAACAAAAAGCTAACTGGAGCAGAGCCATAATTTTAAGTTCAGTCTGTTGTGACCTCACATATTTCTTGATCAGGATGACACTTATATGTGAAATCAAGGTCAGATAACTAGGATAATTTATGTTTTCAATGCTGGGCCCCCAAAAATGCAACAGAGTTACCATTAGTAACATTTAGTACATTCAAAGTATTCCATGACCATCACCACTATTTAGTTCCAGAATATTTTCATCGCCCCAAAGGAAATTCTATACTGAGTAAACGGTATTCTTTACCATTAGTCCTGGCAACAACAAATCTCTTTTATCTCTATAGGTTTTTCTTATTCTGGACATTTCATATAAATGAGGCCTTAAAAAATGTAATCTGTATCTAGCTTGTCTCACTCAGTATGTTCACAAGAGTCATCCATGTTATGCGATGTATTAGTACTTCATTCCATCCTATATTATATTCTATGGATATCAGCATTTTATATGTATCCATTTATTAGCTCACAGATACTTGTGCTATTTCTATTTTCCAGTTACTATAAATAATAGTTTTAAGAATATGCAAGTAAAAGTATTTGAGTAAATATTTTTGCTGTCAGACTTCCATGTTTATGGGTTCCCCATCTATCAACTCAACCAAGTGGGAATCAAAAATATTCAGAAGCCAGGAGTGGTGGCACACTCCTGAAATTCCAGCACTTGGGAGGCTGAGGCAGGACTGCTGCAAGTTCAAGACCAGCCTAGGGCTACAAAGTGAGCTCAAGGCCAGCCTGAACTGCATAGCAAGACCCTGGCTCAATATATAGATAGATAGATATAGATATAGATATAGATATAGATATAGATATATAGATATAGATATATAGATAGATTCAGGAGATGCTGGGTGTGATGGTGCATGCCTGTAATCCCAGCCCTCAGGAAGCTGAGGCAGGAGGATCACTTAGAGGTAGAGGCCAGCCTAGGCTACAAAGTGAGTTTAAGGCCAGTCTGAACTATACAGCAAGACCCTATTCCAAAAAACAAAACAAAAAAATTAGGGGAAAAATGTTTTCTGTACCAAACATATACATACTTTTTTCCTTGTCCTTATTTCCTAAAAAAATAACAACTATGTACTGGGCTAGAGGTGTAGCTCAGTGGTACAGCACTTGCCTAGCATGCAAACATAAGTTCAATCCCCAGCACTGCAAAGAAATAAAAACTACTTACATAGGAATTACTCAGTATTAAGTATTATACCAGGGATTAAAGTATAATACCAAAGAACATGTGGATTATGCATATGTAGATCCTTCACCATTTCAAATAAAGGACCTGTACATAAAAAGTATTTGGTATCCACAGGGGTCCTGAAACCAATCTTCTGCAGATACTAACAGAAGACTGTATATACCCAAGTGTGAAGCTACTGAATCATACAGTAATAATATACAGCTTACTGAAGAATCACGAAATTGCTGCTTCCACAGTGGTTATTCCCAAGAGCATTTAATAAATGTTCCTACTTCTCCACATCCTCTCCAACACTTTTTACATTCCACTTTTTAAAATATTATTACAATCATCCTAGCATGACATGGTATCTCACTGTATTTTAGTTTGCATTTCTCTAAAGACTAATACTTGGGCATCTTTTCATGTAGTTGGTCATTTGTGTATCTTTAGAGAACTATCTATTTGAGCCCTGTGCAGATTTGTTAGTTTGTTTTTGTTCTTGAGTTGTAAAAAGTACATTACATTTTCTTGATACTAGCCTCTTATTGTATAGAGCATTGTAAAAAAAATTTTTTAATGTACAAGCTATATATTCACTTTCTTTGTATGCACACATATGTGTGTGCATGTACATGTGCGTATACATGCACATGCGTGGTTTGGAGAATCAAACCCCAGGTTTCACATGTGCTAGGCAAGAGCTCTACCACAGAACTATAAACCTAGCCTCAGAAGTTTTCAATTTTAGTGACATTCAATTTAGCTATACTTTTCCTTTGGAGGGTATGCTTTTAGTTTTTGTGTTGTTGTTGCTGTTGTTTATGCAAAATAAGAATCAAACCCACAGTGCTCTAACACTGAGCTATATATTTATTTTTCATTTTGAGGCAGGGTCTCACTAAGTTACTCGGGCTGGCCTTGAATTTATGATCCTCCTATCTCCTCCTCCCTGAAAGCAGGGGTTATAACCATGCACCACCACACCCAAGTGGCTGTTACATTTTTGGTATCATATCTAAGAAATCATTGCCAAACTCGAGGTCATAAAAATTTCCCTTAAGTTTTCTTTTTGTGTGTGTGTTTGTGTGTGTATGTATATGTTACTGAGGACTAAACCCAGGGTTTTACCCTCAGCCCTTTTTTATTCTTTATTTTGAGATAGGGTCTCACTAAGTCACTAAGTTGGCCAGGCTGGGCTCAAACTTTCAAGCCTCCCAGAGTGCTAGGATTACGAATATGCACCACCACAACTGGTTTAAATTTTCTTTTGAGGGCTGGGGATAGAGCTTAGTAGCATAAGCGCCTGCCTGGCAAGCACAAGTCCTGAGTTTGATCCCCGGTACCCACACACACAAAAAAAATTTCTTTTGAGAGTTTTATAGTTTTCAAGCCAGACACGGTGGCTCACATCTGTAATCCTAGCATTTAGGAGCCTGACACAGGCAGACTGCCATGAGTTCAAGGCCAGTCTGGCCTACATAGTCATTTCAAGGCCAGCCTGAATTACAGTGAAAACCTGTCTCAAAAAAAAAACAAACATATACACAACAAAAGTTTTATAGTTTTAGCTCTTATAATTAGGTCTGACCTATTTTAATTTTTGTGTGCAAGGTGATGTAAGAGTCCAGATTCATTCTTTTGCATATGGATATTCAGTTGTCCAAGACTATTTGTTGAAGAGATTATTATTCTTTTACCTGCTGAATGGATTTTTGACAACTTTGTCTAAAATCAACTCACCATAGGGGTATAGGCTGATTTTAGGACTTTTAATTCCATTTTCCTTGTCTAGGTCTATATATAGATCTGTGTCTACTGCAGTATCACACTGTTTTGATGTTTGTAGTGGCAGTCCTCCAATTTTGTTCTCCTTTAATAAGTCATCTTAGCTATTTAGGATTTCTTGCAATTCCATGTGAATTTTAGGATCAGTTTTTCCACTTCTGCAAAAATGCAACTGGTATTGTGATACAAACCACACTGAACTGTAGACTGCTTTAGGTAATAATGTCATTTTAATAATATTTCAATCCATGAATGCGAATTAGCTTTCTTTTTATTTAGGTCTTAACTTCTTTCAGTAATGTTTTATACATTTCAGCACATAAGTCTTGCAAGTCATTGGGTAAATTACTCTAAGTATTTTACTCTTTCTGATGCTATTGCAAATGCTTTAATTTCATTTTTTGAGTTGCTAATTGCTGGTACACAGAAACTCAACTGACTTCGTATTCTGAAATGTTCCTAAAATGAGCACTAATAAAATTTTTATGTGAATGTTTTACCTTTTTTCTTTTTTTTCCCCCTAGTATTGGGATCCCAGGACCTTCATACTAAGCTGCATCCCCAGCCCTTTATCTTTTCTTGTTCCTTTTAATTTTGTTTTGTTTTGTTTGTGTGTTTGTGACATGGTCTCGCTAAATTGCTAAATTGCATAGGGTGGGTCTGAACCTGTGCTCCTCCTGCTTCAGCCTCCCATAGCACTGAGGTTACAGATGTCTGCCACCACATCTGACTTGTGGGAATTTTTTAGGACTTTCTACCTATAGAATCATGTCATCTGTGAATAAAGTTTTATTTGTTTTTCATTTTGGATAAATTTTGGATAAAATTTCTTTTTGCTTCTCTAGTTGCTCTGTCTAGAACTTCTAGTATAACGATAAATTAACATCTTTATTTCTGATCTTAGGGGGAACTTTTTAATCTTTCACCATTGAGTATGATATCAGCTATGTGTTTTTCATAAATGTTCTTTATCATGCTAAGATGATCAGGGTAATTTATATCTGACCTCAGAGTTTTAGGTAAGATGCTAACTTCGGGGCAGCTAGCTTAACAGAAACAATCAAATTTTAAAGACCCTCGGGCTGGACGTGGTGGTGCACGCCTGTAATCCCGGCACTCAGGAGACTAATGCACAGACTGCCGTTAGCTGGAGGCCAGCCTGGGCTACACAGTGAATTCAAGGCCAGTCAGAAATACAAAGTGAGACCCTGTCTCCAAAAAAAAGAATAAATAAGTAAATATCTGCATTCAGTAAAGTTTATTCAAATGAGATTAGGTGTGTGAGGAGAAACATTACCTTCCACTTTGTAAACAGATCAGCAAGGAAACCATTCACAGCTTTCTCAAAATAAAGATCCCCTGAAAAGAAACAAAGAGGGAGCAGGGATTACCTTTATTTCTTGCTTGCAATTTTCTCTCTGAATAACAGAAATGAGAGTAACAGAAATGGGAACAAAGACAAAATGGTGGGTTCTGCTCTCTCTTAAAACATGATCAAGCCAGGCGTGGGGTCGCATGCCTGTAATCTAAGCACTCAGGAGGCTGAGGCAGGAGGATCGCTGCAAGTTCAGGACCAGCCTGGGCTACAAAGTAAGCTCAACGCCAACCTGAACTGCACAGCGAGACCCTGTCTCAAAAAGACAAAAAAATATATAAAATATGATAAGAGCCCAATGTACAAAGCAATTTCATCCTAGACTTTCTAGCAAGTTGCATTAATATTTGTCTAGATTACTGAAATATAGTGTAGCTTCAAAATGAGGGAGAGAATGATATAACCTTCAAATATGATTATTCTTATTACAATGCTTAAAATTTGTCAGAAGATGATGTGGTAGACCCTGGGCTCTCATGAATTATCATTTGTAGTTCCTGCTGTCCATAAGGGACCTTGCTGGCTCAATGTAAAAATTAATTTGTAATTGTGCTAAACACAAATTTGAATTGTTTGTACCATGAGGCTGGTGTGGTCACAGTATCTGTACCTCATAACACTTTTACTGTTCTCTCCAGATTATGTCATAATTCTAAAATAATGAAACAAACAGTTATTTCTGTGAGAGGAAAAGAAATATCAAAGATAGTGTTTTATAGTCACCCATATAACTTTTCACTCTATACTCAGAAAATATAGATCTGAGAATTCAGGTTTTTCATTAATACTTCATTGTATTTCCTTTCTCATTCTTTCATATTCATTCTCTCTCTCTTTCTCTCTCTCTTTTTCTCCCTTTCTCCCTCTCTTCTTCCCTTTTATTCCCCTCTCCCTTCCTCTCTCTCTCTCTCTCTCTCTCTCCACACACACACAGAGTATATATAGACTATATAGTCTAAGGGTGAGTCTATCTATCTTAGCATCAGGATATATCTTTAGAGAATGTCAAGAGCTTACTGTAGAATGATACCAACTTGGGAGAAACCAGAAAATTCTCCCCAGTGGCAGTTATAATCAGCACTTAGGGAACAGTACCATAAATATCAAAATCCCACATTTCACAGCTCATCTGAATAAATATGTAAACCATAGCTGATGTAGAACGGAACACCACCTGAAACAAAAACATAATTTCATTAAAAAGCAAGGATATAGTGTGCCAATAAAATTAGTTTTTTAAAAAGCAGTCACGGAAGAATTTTTTTTAAATTGTGATGCAGGACTTCTAACAGCAAGCACCACCTATGCATTCATTTTTTTACACTGAAGTAGGTACTGAGCTCTTACTCTGACCCATGTGAAACAGTCAGTAAGATATGGTCCCTACCCTCTTGGAATGATTCACACAGGGTAAGAACATGCAAAATATTGTAGCACACACAAATATTCCATAGAGATTCACACAAGAAATGCAGTACAGGGGCACATATGGCAGCACACCCGTAATACCAGAACCTGGCAGGAGGACTGCCACAAGATCGAGACCAATCTGGGCTACATAGTGAGTTCAAAGCTAGCCTGAACTACATAGCAAGACTTTATCTCATAAAACCAAAAAACAAAAGAAAAGAAAAAAAGAACAGTGGGGAGCACAGCCAGGTATAGTGACACATGCCAGTGAACTTAGCATTCAAGGAAGCTGAGGCAGGAGGATCACAAGTTCAAGCCCAGCCTAAGTAACTTAAAACCCTCTGTCAAAATTTAAAAAAAAAAGAATTTTTTTTTTTTTTTTTTTTTCTCTTAAAGACAGGACTTCACTGTTCAGTTCAGGCTGGCCTTGAACTCACTTTGTAGCCCTGGCTGGCCTCAATCTCCCAGCAATCCTCCAGCCTCAGCCTCCTGAATGCTGCGATTACTGGCATGCACCAACATACCTAGCTTAAAAAAAAAAAAAAAGATCATAAATGGCTGGAGAGGCAGCTTAGAATGAAAGCCCTAGGTTCAACCCCAGTCCCACACACACAAACACACAAAGCAAGTAGCAGAAGGTGCAGTGAGGGCAGGGAATTCACCTGGGAAAGTCAGAGAAACCTCATTATGGAAGCAGATTTTGAACAGAACATGCCAGATACTAAGTTGCTAGTCTAACAAATTATAATTCACGTAGTAGCTCCTGTATACCCAGACTGCTTCAAAGAAAAGCATAAGTGATACTCTGGCCCTGAGTGCTTTACCAGAATCCTTTATCCAGCCCTTCTAGCCTCTGGGGTTTGGCAGGAAAGCAGAATGTAAATCTCTCACAATCCTTTAGGTAATTAGAAACCTCCTACTTAAAGACAGAAGCTTCTTAAAGACCATTCACTCCTGGGCCTTTCCATAATCCCTGGAGCATAACAGGCACTCGATTAATCCCCTTCCTTCTCCAATACACAGAAACACAAAGACTGGGGGGCAATACGCGCTTCAAAATATACTTCACTCATCTCTGAGTACTGGCAGGGTGATTCTGCATTTCTTTTTTTGAACCTCTTTTTTAAATTATGGGTGTATTTTGGGTTATGTCAGGCTACACTTATATCTTTAAAAGACACTCTTGTATGCAAAATTACAGTATAAGTAGAAGCAGATCGTTGTTGGCCTTTGTACGTGAGGAGATGTGACTGCACAGCAGCACTGGGGAGCTTCCTAGGGTGATCTAAAACGTTCCACCCCCGACCACAGCAGTATATACACATTTATCAAAACTCACTAGACTCTATCAATAGTTTTTATTGCATATGAATGTTTTATGTATGAAACTGATTTATATATTGATTTAAAAGATACTTCCTAGGGCTGGGTATGTAGCTCAGTGTTACACCACTTGCCTAGCATGCACGAGGTTTGATCCCCTGCACCACAAAAAACGTAACAGAACAATAAAGAAACACTTCTCTACTTTTTGTTAATACACTCCATCCTTAACAAAGTATGTGTGTCTATATGTGTATAAATATATGCAATGATATTTTTAGTTATGTCTGTGTGTCTTAGTCCATTTTCTGTTGCTATCACTAAATACCTAAAACTAACTTATAAAGAAAAAAAAGCCTCACATTTCTAGAGGCTAAGAAGTGCGAGGTCAAGGAGACATATCTGGTGAGGACCTTCTTGCTAATGGGGATTCTCTACACACTACCAAAGTAGCACAGGACAACATGTGGCAAGAGGAGCACATCCAAGATACAGAGCCACGCTGCCTTTCATGACAAACCCATTCTCAAGGTAAATCATTAATCTATTCACGAGGGCAGAGCCTTTATGACACAGTTGCCTCTTAAAGATCCCAGCCCGATACTCTCAATGGGGATTAAATTTCAGCGTGAGTTTTGGCGGGGACAGTCAAGCCATAGGACTGTGTTTTACAGTTGTTTAAATGTACCCCTGACTTTGAAAACTGTAAAACTCAGTAATTAATACACTGATATTCCAATTATACTCCTAATGGTCCTGGCTGGCTAGTTGGTTCGCTGGTTGGTTGTAGATTATTTTTCTGTACAAACCCATGGTTTCGTGAATGCCAAGTAAGCACTCCACCACTGAGCAACATCCCCAACCCTAGATACATTCTTTTTATTTATTTTTTTTTTTTTTGGCTTTTTGAAACAGGGTCTCGCTATGCAGTTCAGGCTGGCCTTGAGCTCACTTTGTAGCCCAGGCTGGCCTCAAACTCACAATGATCTTCCTGCCTCAGTCTCCCGAGTGCTGGGATTACAGGCGTGTGCTACCACGCCCAGCTCTAGATACATTCTTTAAGATAAAAATTTACATGTTAAAAAATTCACTAGTTCAGCCAGGTGCGGTGGCACATGCCTGTAATCTCAGCACTTGGAAGGCTGAGGCCAGAGGATTGCTGGGAGACTGAGGCCAGCCTGGGCTACAAAGTGAGCTCAAGGCCAGCGTGAACTGCATAGGAGACCCTGTCTCAAAAAGACAAAAAAAATAAAGTCTATAATTCACCCAGGTACAGTGACACACACCTGTAACCCAACCACTCAAGCAGCTGAGGGAGAAAGACCTTAAGTTCAAGACGAGCCAGAGCAACTTAATGAGACACTGTCTCAAAATAAAAAATACGAAGTGTTGGGGATGTAGCTCAGCAGTACAGTCTTTGCTGAGGTCCTAGGTTCAATCCTCAGTATCACTAAAAAAATAAAGTCTAAATTCAGTAGATTTTAGCATATTCACAATGTTATGCAGCCATCACACTATCTAACTTTAGAGCATTTCCATCACACCAAAAGAAACTCGATACCAGACTAAGAGGGTAGCTCACTAGGAGGTTTGGAAGGGAGAAGGGAAGAAAAGAAAAAGGGGGAAAGACAGAATACAGTGCAGAAGGAAAAAAATGGAAACAAAGCTTTTGTAACTGGGGAGGGGAACAAGGGTTGAAAGGAGGGGAGGGAAATGGGAAAAAAAGAAGAATCAAGATATGTGCAGATACAAATTTCCTATGATGAGGGCTGGGTGTGGTGGCTCACGTCTGTAATCCCAGCACTCAGGAGGCTGAGGCAGGAGGATCACTGCGAGTTTGAGGCCAGCCTAGGCTACAAAGTGAGCTCAAGGCCAGCCTGAACTGCATAACGAGACCCTGTGTCAAAAAGACAAAAAAAAAATTCCCTATGATGAATGTTATCAATATGTATGACAAATATGTACTAACAAAAAAATTTTAAAATACAGTAAAAATGTTTAAAATAATCTCATCTATTCATGAATGGAATAACATGCAAAAAAATAACAGTAGAAGGCTTGCCTAGCACATAGGAAGAGGACAGAAGGAATGCCCAGCTTCCTCATTTTTTAAGTATGCCGTTTTGCCTTCCTTTTTTTTTTTTTTAAGTGAATCATATACTTTACTTGAACATTTCTCAAAGGCACAGTGAAAACTGGAGTTCATTTTTTTTTTAATATATTCTATATTTTAATATTTGGAGATATATATCTCACTATATCTATAGTGCCATATAATTAATGCTGCCATTCGTAATGTAGTAATTAGGGTGATTTTAATTAATTATTGTGGTACTGGGGATTAAATTTAGGGCCTTTACGCTGAGCTATATCCCTGATCTCACCCCCTTTTTGAGACAGGGTCTCAATAAATCACTAAATTGCCCAGGATAGACTTAAATTTATGATCCTCCTGCCTGAGTCTCCCAGAGTGCTAGGATTATAGGGCTTGTGCCCCCATACCCCACTTAGGGTGCTTTTTTATTATACTAAATTTCAAACATGTTAAAAATCTGAAAAAATGCAAAGTAAACCCCATAACCATCACCTAGATCCTACACTAACATGACATTTGGTTTATCATTTATCTGTCCATGTGTTCATCCCTTTAAGGCATCAATTCATCTTATTTTTTCTATATAAAAATAATGTACAAACATCAGTAATCTCTTTCCTTGTATTTTTTTTTCCCCTGCAGTGCTAGAGGCTGAACCAGGGCCTCTAACGTGCTAGGCAAGCACTCTGCCACATCCCCAGACCTACTGTTTGTCTATCTTTATATCTATCCATTATTCACTATCCATCCATGTCTTTTTAGAGGGATGGCCTCATAACATTGCCTTGGCTGGTCTCAAACTTGTGATCTGCTTGCCTCAGCCTTCTGAGTAGCTGGAATTATAGGCATGTGCCGCCACACCTGACTTCCCCTTCCTTTAAATTTGCCATCTATAATTTAATTTAATTAATGTCACAAGGCACTCTTACTTTGGATAAGGGTGCCTTGTGACATTAATTAAATTTTATAGTGCTGATTTCTTTTCATACACTAAAACCTTGCTCTTCTAATCAGTTTATACATAGTTGGCTTGAGACAGGGTCTCATTACATGATTCATGCTTGCCTGGAACTCACTATGTAGTCCAGCCTTGCCTCAAAGTCATGATTCTCCTGCCTCAGCCTTCTGAATGCTGGGATTACAGGCATGTGCCACCACTCTTCAAAAGATTATAAATTCTTTTATTTTTGGTCTTTTTGAGACAGGGTCTCACTATGTAATTCAGGCCGGCCTTGAGCTCACTTTGTAGCCCAGGTTGGTCTCAAACTTGCAACGATCCTCCTGCCTCAGCCTCCCAAGTGTGGGAATTACAGGCATGTGCCACTATGCTCAGCAGCAGATTATAAATTCTTGACATGAGAGGAACATGTCTAAAATTTTATTCAACAAATATTTGAGAGATTATTGAGTACAAAAGCCATGCCAGAGAACTCTAAGATTTAAAGATAAAATGTAGCTAGGCACAGTAGTGCATGCCTATAATACCAGCAATGAGGGAGACTGAGGCAGGAAGATCGCAAGTTCAAGCCCAGCCTGAGCCAATTTAGTGACTAACAAGACCCTGTCTCACCAAAATAAAAAATAAAAAATAAAAAAGGATTAAGGATGCAGCTCAGTGGTGGAACACCCTGGATTCAATCCCTAGTACTGTTAAAATTTAAAAATAAGTAAAGGTAAAAGGTACAATCCTTGCCCTCAAGGTGCTCACAACCCAATGGGAAGGCACACAAACAGGGTGCCCAGCTAAACGTAACTGCTAATATAAGCTAAGGTCCAGAGTGCCACAGAGGTACTTCCCGTCTGGTGAGGGAGGCTTTCCAGAAGCCTAAGACGAGAGCTGACACCTAAATGAGTAGTTTGGGAAAGGAAAAGGCAGGGTCTAGGCACCCGAGCAGGAGAGGATGGTATCTGCAAAGACATGGAAGCAAGAGCAAACATGGCATACCTGAGGAACAGTGAGTGCTTTACATGGCTAGGACATGGAGGCAAGTAGAGATCTCACACAGGAGAAGTGATAAACTGAGCTCCATACTTAACTATCTGCACTGATTTTTCTACTCAGATCTAGCAGGCATCTCGTCACACACTGAGCTTTTTCATTCTTCCCAGTGTTTACTAGCTCATAAATGGCACCACCATCTAACCGGCTGTTCAGTTTTCCTCTTAACTTCTGGCATCCAGTCTATCAGCAAGTTGTGTGGACTCTACCCTGACACACACCTCCAATCTGCCAACATCTCTCCACTGTTACAGCCCTCATCCTAGTCTGCTCTACCAACTTTTACAGGCCTCGCAACTTGTTTCTTTGCTTCGACTTCTGTCCTTACAAAAAATGTATCAAAACTAGAGGGGCTAAAGCACATACTACTGGATGCTTATCAAATATCCATTCTTCCTGTCATCCTGAGTAGAAGCTGATTCTGTTCTAGGAAGCAAGAGAACCAAAAGAATAAATTTCCTAGACTTAGCAGCTATATGTGACCAATATGTTAATGGAAATGCTATGTCTGTAAAGGAAGGGAACTTGATTGGAGGTATGGCTCATTTATCTCTCTTTTCCTCTGTCTTTTAGCTGGCTATGGTTACAGCAGCTCAAGGTGGATCACAAAAGCCCTATACATGATCTGATGATGACAGAACAAGAAGATAAGAGTCCTGAATCACCAAAAATTGTGACACTCATTGCATACCATGGAACTTTTTTACCTGAGAGAGGGGCTGGGGATTTGTTTGAGTGGCAAAGCGCCTGCCTGGCAAGCGCAAAGTCATGAGTTCAATTCCTGGTACCGGAAGAAAAAAGAAAAACAAAAACAAAAAAAATACCTGAGAGAAAAAAAAGTTGACCTTTAAGCATTATACCCACTGTTTTGAGGGAGTTTCGCTCAACAAAATCTAACTGGACAGTGATTTGGGATTTTTTTGGCAGTACTGGGGATAGAACCCAGGGCTGCATGCATTCTAGGCAACTGCTCTATACTGAACCACATCACCAGCTCTTTAAACAGTAACCTTTTAAAAACATAATGCAGGCAGGAGTGGTGGCACATGCCTACAATCCCAACACTCAGGAGGCTGACTTCAAAGCCAGCCTGAACTATGTAGTGAGACCTTGTGTCCAAGAAAAGAGCAGTGGTTGAAATAAAATTCAAATATCATACCCCACTTAAAATCCTGGAATGGGTTTTGTGGGTCTTTTTTAAGTTTATTGGTACAATTTAGGTATGCATAATGATCCCATCCATGATAGAGAATTTGTACTTTTGAGGGGTTTTTGGTTTGTTGATTTGGTTGGTTGGTGTGGTTTTTTGAGACAAGGTCTCACTTTGTAGTTCAGGGTAGCCTTGAACTCGTAGCAATCTTTCCATCTCAGCCTTCCCCAGCTCTCTGTCTTTACATATATCGTAAGTCAACTGGCCAGAATCTGTGTACTGGGACCCCCCCTATTCCTTGCCAACATTCTCCCTCCCTGTCCACAATACCTCCATCACCGCTTGCCTCCACCACTGTTTCCTCTGCCTGGAATCTTCTTCTTCACAAAATGTGTACACTGGCTAAGTCTCACCTTTCAGATATTTTCACTGGGACGCTTTCTTGGCCCATCTTTGCAAAGGTCTTCTTGTTATTTTCCACCTCAATGGTCAATTTCTCTCAGAATTTTAAATTTATTTCATTTGTTCATCAAGAAAGTCACCCCAGTCCCTCTCATGATCCCATTAATTTCCTTCAAGCTCTCATCATAACCTACAATTACCACATTTATCGACTAGGTGACGAGTAAAATCTGTCCCCCAACTGGGTAAGCTCCTTACTAGCAGGATCAGTCATTCTGCTGAGCATGAATACTTTGTGCCCGACCACAGTGGTTGGCACATGGTAAGTGCTCTGACATTATTTGGTTAATGGATGAATGAACGAGGTTGAAGAGGTAAGCACATGTCAAATTATCATGACTTTTGCAAGGCACGCTTAAGATTTTTTTGACTTTTTAGAAAATTAAGATCACTATAAAATACCAATCTATGCTCCTAAAATTGCAAAAACCTTAAAAATCTAATGCTAGGTATTGGGGGAAATGAAAAAAAAAACAGGAGATTTTACACACTTCTGGAACATAAACTGGTTCAAGCCAGGCCTGGTGCAGGCCTTTAATCCCAGCATTCTAGGAGGCTGAGGCAGGAGGATCACAAGTTCCAGCCCAGCTTAGGCAACTGGGCAACTTAATGAGACTTTTTCTCAAAATACATACAAGCATACATAAGCTGGGGATGAAGCGGCCGTGGGTTCAATCCCTAGTAGTAAACAAATGAATAACTGGTTCAAACAATTTGAAAAACAATGTGACATTACCTCACAGAGTAGAATCTATGTGGTGTGTACCACCATGCCCACAAGTAACACTCCTAATCACAGATTTGAAGTACTGGGTACATGCCGGACATGGTGGTGTACACCTGTAATCACAGCACTCAGGAGGCTAAGGCAAGAAGATCACCACAAGTTCAAGGGAAGCCTGGGCTACATAATGAGTTTAAGGCGAGCCAGAACTACATAGCAAGACCCTGTCCCAATAAAACAAAAACAAAAAAGTATTAAGTATAAAAAACTACACATTTTTACTCCATTTTAGTAAAGTGAAACAAATAATATACTCTTTAGGGTAAAGCATATACGTAACAACTAGAAATTACAAAAATGAAATGCAGATAGTAGTTACTGCTAAGGACACTGACTCACAACCAGGGGTGATTCTGCCCTGCAAAAGATCTGGTAACATCTGGAAATGTTTCTGGGTGTCATGACTTGCAAGTTGGAGGTTAGATAATGAAATCAGCTTCTAGTGAGTAAAGGCCAGGGATGTTGCTAAACATCTCACAATGCACCAGACAGCCCCCCACAATGTTACTGTCATTTTGGACCAGGTAGTTCTGTGCTCTGGTAGCCTGTTTTGTACATGTAGCATATTCAGCAGCATCCACACTGGGTGCCAGTGGCACAATCTTTTAGTTGTGATAACCAAAACTGTCTTTAGACATTGCCAAAAGACTCCCAAGGAGCCAATATCACCCCTAGTTAAGAACCACCTCTCAGGGGAGGCAGGGAGATGAGAAAAGGAGAAGTAGACAGTTTCACTAGCATGAGTAATATTCGCAGCTGCTCAAATTGTATTCTTCCAACAGAGAGCCAAAGATAGGCTTCACAAAGGTCTCTCTTCATGCTTATAATACAATCTTGCACTGAGTTATACTTTCCCTATGTATCAGTCGGCACAGCATAGTGCAGGCTAGATAGTATATCTCTGTGTTGAATATTAAACAGATGTATTTGGGAGAAGAAAACAAAGATCAATTCCAACCTGGAGAGATCCAAATATAAAACATCATTAAGGCCAAGGATATAGCTCAGTGGCATAAGTACCTGCCTGGCAAGGGCAAGGTCCTGAGTTTGATTCCCGGTACCACAAAAAAAAAAAAAAAAACCATAAATCATCGGATTTGCAGAAAACTCTGATTCCAGTTCCACCTGGCAAACAGTAGCAATCATGAGATTTTCATTTATTTTCTTCTGCTTTGTTTCAATTTCAAAACTCAGACATAATGGTAAACAAAACCAAAAAAAAATTTGTAAGTCTTACCCTGGTGTCTTCACTGATATAACCACACATGACCTTCTCATTCTTGACCCACAGCTCACCAGCCTGTGCCCTGAAAAAATACACACACATACACAAATTATTATAATCTTTATGTTAATCCAACTTTAGGTGATTCATTGCTATTCATTTACATCCAAATGACCTGACTGGCTACTGATTTCTAGGAGGAACTTCATGAATACATCTAACAAAGAATTCTCATCATATACTGACTATGCACAATAGGAGTTCATAATTAGGCATCCCAAAGACAATATACAAGGCTGAGGAAGAGAGGGCTTCAAGGAATCCATGGCTCTGGTGTGCACCACCATGCCCAGTTAGTGGCTATTTCTAATCTGTAAAAACTACAACAATAGCAGATATTAACACAAAATGCTATTTTGGAGAGAAAGTAGTAGCTATTACCGGAGGACCTTGTAATCATTCTTCAACTAATCATCCTAGTGCTTCTAACAGCCTCACTCTCCCCAGTGTAGAAACCTGTCCAGCCTAAAAAAATCATTCTTTATGAAAAATAAAAAAGGGGTCAAAGGTATAGCTCAGTGGCACAAGCGCCTGCCTCGCAAGCTCAAGGTCCTGAGTTTGATTCCCAGTACAAAAAAAAAACCAAACTAATGAATTAAAGTATATATTAAACATAAATGAATTTGATATGTTCACACTTGGATCCCATCTCCAAGATACCTCATTATATATCCAAATATTCTAAGACCTAAAAAAAATTGAAATCTGAAATATATATGGTCTCCAGCTTTTTTTGTTTTTTGTTTTCTGAGACAGTCTTGCTATATACTGCAGGCCTGCCTTGAATTCACAGTGCTCCTTCTGTCTCAGCTGCTGGGATTACAGGCTTGATTGACCACATCTGGATACCCAGCATTTTCTTTCCCCAGCATTATTAGATTGAAGATACTCAACCTTTAAAATCAGGGTTTCAACCACTCCCATTTTACTATGAATACTAGCAGCAGGAAGCACTCCAAATATAAGCTACCAAACACATTAACACTTCAATGCACGAACTCACCAACTCATCCTAGAATAGACATGCGAAGTGGTATTAACAAAATTTGGGCTTAGACTACTAAACCTCCTTGTTAGAGTTCAGACCATAATACTTCTACACCTCAGTTCTGTGTTTTTTGTTTGTTTATTTGTTTGAGACAGGGTCAGGCCTAAAATTTGTGGCAATCCTCCTACCTGCTTCCCACATCTGTAATCCCCTGTGCTGGGATTACAGATGTGTGCCACCATGCCTGGCTATGCCTCAGTTTTTAAAATTCAGTAGATGTGTTTTATTTTAAAATACATTTCCCCATCCCTCTTCTAGAACCCTTCATGATCCTGTCTCAAATTTTTAAAAGGGCTAGGAACATAGCTCAGCAGTAGAACACTTACTTAGCATGCACAAGACCCTGGGTTCAATACCCCAAAAAGGATCAGGGTGTCACTTTTCACTGAAATACTGGGGGCTGGGGAAAAGGAGACTGAGCCCACAACCTTCACACTGACTTACATCCCCAGGACTTTTTTATTCTTATTTATTTATGTATCTATGTATGCGTCTGTGTTTGTTTGTGACAGGTCTCACTAAGTTGCACAGGATAGGCTCAAACTTGCAGGCCTCTCCCCTCAGTCTCCTGGAGGGATGGA